CTGTCTTTACATGCCATTTCTCCCAAATCCACAAATAAGGCCATTACTATATCTGATTCAAAATTAATGGTTCTTTGATCAGAAACATCTAAAAAGAATGCCTTGTGTCACTTTCTCCGTATCTTTTCACTCAACTCATTTTTTTAAAAAATCCTACCCTTACTCTCTTCTTCCCTTCCTACTTACTTCCTCTTTTCTTTTGAAAGGTGCCTATTAGCATGTCCTCCTCTTTAAGAGAAAAAAAAATAAAAGAAAAAGCAAGAGTGAAGAGTGAGAAGGATGATTAATAGCTAAGGTTTTGAAGTTTTCAAATAATTTGAGGGATGTGTAGGGCCTATATGAAATTAATTCTGTGGGGACAGAATTTATTTTTTAAATCAGGATGTGAACTTTGTAGCATTTTCAAAGCAACACAGTGAGCCACAGGAAGACAAGACAGAGAGGCTCCCTTGCACGATGGGAATCTGTGACCAACAACTCTTTCTGCTGAACTTGATTCTCTTTAACAGAACTCAACATACTAATTAAGTCAAAGCCATTCCATCTGGACTGTTAAAATGAAAGATGACATTGCATATTTACATACAAAGTACATATTACATGATGTGTAAGCATACAAATAAAATAGTATTTACTAAGTGTCACCGCACTGAGATACACAGTATATGTTTACCAGAACATACACTTAATTAGCAAATGAAAACAAGGTCAGCTAAATCAATTTTCACAAAATGCTTCCTTAGACACATATACTAGATTTTAAAAACATACAGTTTTCTCTCATCAAAATAACTAGAAAATACAAAAAATGATAAAAAAAAAGTTCTTTCCACCATTAAGCACGCAAAAATTGAAAAGCCTGCCACCATTTCCCTCTAAGCACTCCACTCAATCATGCATATCAGCTAAAAACCATAATGAATGGAAATTTGGGTTAATAAAATTAATTTCAAACAAGCAAGCTAAGTGATTGACTTACAGGATCAGCTGGTGCAATGTTAGAATCAAATTGGGTCAGAGTTTGTGAGCTTGAAGAGCGTTCACTAAATGTCTCCCACTGCTGAACAGACAGAGGAGAGACAAGTCAGCATGATGAGAAAGATGGAGTAAAAGATCATTGGAGAAGATTTAGCAAAGTAATTCAGAGGTTGCACTGCAAGTTGTGTTTCAAAGGCCTGACAAAATTCCATAATCTCTATTTTTCCATAAACATGTTATACTCTCTATGCTGGGTCATCTTATAATGTAAGGTGAGCAGCTTCACATTCAAACGTATAATAACAATTTATCACAATCTCAATGGAAGAGATTCCAAGTCTCACAGAATTAAAACTTAAAACATAATATAGGAACAGAGGCTAAGTGGTATAAATGGCAACAAAGTAAAAATGTAAAGGGGTTTGTCTTGACTAGAGAAAGAATTACTTCAAATCCTTCTTTCAAAATTCTAATGTTAATGTACAGATTTGGTGATACTAATGAATCCTGCGTACCAAAGTTTTGGTCAAAACAAAGCAAGTCAGTGTGACTTGCCAGTGCGACCCCTGAAAGATGATTCTATTATGGACGTGCACATATTTCATACATGTGTCTAGATACTTAATAAAATATAATTTAGATAAAATGAAAAGATTTTTGGAATTAATATATGTTTGAGCTTATGTCAATCTGTAGCAAGTCAGCCCCTGCCATGAGCACTGCGCACAGGGCCATGCCGGACCACAAGACAGAGCTGCCCGTCAGGCACCATCCCCACCCCATGCCAGAAAAATCAGAATGCGGCCACGATGAGAGCAAATCAAGCATCTAAGTATGTGTTACATAGAGAAGACTGATTTTGATATGAAATACTACTCCTCTCCAAGAGGTACACAAATAGCACACCTCTTAAAACAGGTGGAGTGATAAGTCAATATTAATTTTAGTGAACTCCATTTGTTTTTGAAAATCTTAGTAATAAAACAGCATAAGATTTTATATTAAAATTATCATTAAAATTTGCTTAAGAATTATCAGTTATCCTCCGAAGGAAAAACATCTACACATATACAATATATACATACAAATGTTTACACACAGACACACCTACTCTATTAACCAAAATCCTTTCTTATAATTCAGTGTGGAAAAATATACATTTTTATGCTTCAAAGTTCGACTTACTATTTAAAATAGTGATATTCAATTTGAGAAGACATGTAGAAATTAAGTATTAGCAAACATGATGAAAATTATTTACAAAAATAAGCACAATCTTTCAACAACCTAACACTGATGCATTCAAAGGGATTTTTAAAGAAAACCCACAATAATTCACTTTTATCGTGATGTTAGTACAATTAGTTTCCTCAATAATTCTTGTTGCAGGGGTACGGAAGGAATTTTTAAAATCCTAATTATTTAATTGTGGAGAGAAGTTTACATGTAGAAGATTTTTGCCAAAAAGAAGGTATTACCTATCCTATTTGGTGGCATGAAGCTCTACTTGGTTTTGTACGACCGTACGTAAGTTACCTGGAGAGCAGAGACACCCTGATCTTTGTAACTTTAGTATAATGGCTAAGAGCGCAGGCTCTGCAACCAGACTGCTGGAACCCTGGTTATGCCATACAACCTTAGGCAAGTTATTTGACCTGTGTGTCAGTTTCACCATCTGTAACACGAGATTAATAATGCTGAGATCATGGGATTGTGGCGAAGATGTAAGGAGTTAATACGTGTAAGGAGCTTTCTGAGCAGCGCTGGCACATCCAAAGTGCTCGACAGATGTTAGGGATTACTATTAGTGTTATCCAGTGCCGCCTCCATATTCACAGGTGCTGAGTTAGTATTTGCTGAAAGAGTGTTAGTGCTTTGTGGTAGAAAGTTAAAATATAATGTAAATGCCATATCCTAAGTAGGTATTTTTTATAAATATTATTGTTGAAAAGTCTCAAAATCAATGTTAGTTTTATTAACATTCTGGTTTTCCACATATAGTAAAAAAAAAATATTATGACATTCATGACCTTTTTAGTAAATACTACAAAATGAAACTTGCTAGGAATATTTAAGGGAAAATGCAACTACTGGAATCAGAATTTGGAAGGGATGCCATTCCTAGGCTTGAATGATCACATCGCAATTTTACTTAGAATGAAGATGGGCTTTGGAATTGAGTTGCTTCTTAGAGTTGCTTTTATTTTTGAATTGTATCAAGGGAATTTAAATACTCTTAACCTGATAGTGCTTTTAAAAAATGGCAAATGAATAAATGCAGCAAAAATTAGTCATTTCAAGAAAACTGATCCTACTCTCTATAAAGCCTCTCTACTAGTAAATTCTTTTAAAGCTTAACTCTTCCCTCTAAGAAAATACTTAAATGGTTGTTTTATGATAAGTATGTCATAATGTCTCAGTCACCGGTATCTGTGATCATGTCCTAAAGCAACAGCAAGTACTTTAAACTGGCCAGTTACTTCTCTGCTTTTCAACTGTCCAAAACTAACTAGTGTCACTTTACTCCAGTGCTTTTCAGCCTTTAAAATACATGGAAAATATAGCAAGCTTAGAATTTTTTCCTGGAAGTCAACAAACTTTTATATTTGTAGCACTATAAAGGTGATATTAAAAACTATAAGGAAAAAAGTAACGTTCACAAAACTGCTCTAACGGCCTGAACAGTGTTTTTCAATAGGAGTTGTACAGAGCACTAAGGTTTAACAGCCTGGGGGCCTCAGGCAATCTCTTTCTAATCAGAGCGGCCCTACTTCTACTGATTTCTATAATGGAGTTCCAAAGTGATAGGGGAGCAGTGTATTCATCTCAAATTCCATTTTGCATGCTGTGCTTGGTCTTACACGACTTTTCTTTAACCACTGCATTTAACAGTGAAATCATTCCATTTTGTATTGCCAAAAAAAAAAAAAGAACTAAATTATTATAAATAGCCTGGGTTGTATAAAATGCATTTTTCACGTGGAAAGCTGGATTAGTGACTTCTCACACACCACTTCCAATGTTAAGATTCCAAACGTATTATCACATACCTTGCTTACAGGAATGAGAAGGCAGTGTGATACGGTGGGCGCCACAGTTGACTGAATGTCAAAGGATCTGTGTTTAAAGCTTAGCTCTAGTCCCTCACTGGCTATGAGATATTTTGGCCAAGATATCCACCCTTTTATTGACTTCATGTGTCTGCCCCATCTAACTCACAAGACTTTAGCAGCAAGGAGTGCTGGAAACCAAACAACAGTATTTATTATGAAAAACTACTTTGCAAACCTTAGTCACATAATTAAAAACATTTATCACAGTCATATTGGGTATGTTCTCTCAACTATGCATGCATACCAAAAGAGTCATATGCTGAAATTACTCTGTCTAGAACTTCTTACCTTAAAACAATTTAAGTTAATAAAAGAAAAGGGAAGCTCTGCTAACCTCACTGCTCTGATTCAACTCTGGCCAAGTCTGGTTTAGTGATGGCATTGATGGAGACTTGCTTGGAGGTGCTTCTGCAGGAGAGCCTGAATAACCTACCTCACCTGGCTGATCCCCAACGTCTGCAATTTAAAAATACAGAGATTCTCTATAAACAATATATTTTAGTTTAGAAATATTTACTTAGAAAAGCTAACAAGATTTTCACAAATAGTAATTTATAGTCTGACTTTCCTTTCCTTATGTTCCCCAAATAAACATTTTAACAATCAATCAGGCAATACTTATTCCTGTTACTTACTGTCTACTTGAAACCATAGCTTTCCATGAAAATAAAATCTAATTAGGCATAAATAGAAAAAAGAGTGTTACACATAACAATAATGCAATAGAGCACATGCTTTGAATCATCTTCTAATAATCTTATACCAGTTCTCAAAGTATCTTTCATGGAATATTAATCATTAGGTGCTTTAAAAAATTAGGCTTTCTGTTCAAATAAAGGTGGGGATACTCCAATTCCCTGTTGGACCCCCATGCATATCTGTATATCGAAGACTTGTGATGTCCTAGAGCAAATAAAGTTTATTTAAATCAGTGTTTCCCCAAACACAAACCTTTTTTATCAATCAAAATTCCTCCATATTCCCTTGGAATATAATTTGGGAACCACTGATTTATAACTAATTCACTCACATTTTCTCTACAAATCTCCTGTTACCAAAAAGCAGCATCTGTTGGCAAGGCAGACAGCAAAAGGAAAGGAAGAGTTCCAGGCGTGGACAGAGAGCAAAGTGAATGAGCCAACTTTTATCATTACAATGTAAAAACAGAAGGAATTTTAATGGTAAGTAAATTCTCAATCCAATCTTCCCAAATTTTACATGGCCTAGAATACAACCCCAGTCTGGAAATCACATAAACTGCCAAATTAATGGGGAATACCTAATCTACTGAAAACCTGTATCAAAAATATGATTCTAAAATCTGTCACTATCTCACTGTTTGACCATGGGCAAGTTGAATAAAATAGCACCTAAGTTTCTCCATCAGAAAGAAAGACATTTGCCATTAAATATTAGCACTGTACTTAAAATTCCTAAATAGACAGCCATATAATAATTCAGCAGTATAAAGGTTTTTACATTTCAAGCCATTCATAAGTAAATTCTTTACATTTTAGTGCTTAACACATACTAGGACCTAATACATACTGTGCACTCAAGTATTTATCTGAGTTCCTTTCAGGTTCTCCTTCATTTTAAATTCATTCTCCTTTACGGTTACTTTCCTAAAACAAAAATTACCTATTGGTATTTTGAAAAAGTTCTCAAAATTTCTCTTTGCCCTATTTGTGTTACATGTCTATCTCAAAATACTTCCCCCATCTACTTATCCTGACATAACTTCTTCATAGTCCTATCACACTGTGAGTTCTAATTTACAGTCCAGCATCTTATCTTGGTAAATTTTTGTTTTCTAAGATCAAGAACAGTTGCTCTTTTTTTCTTAATCCAATCTCTTTCTCAATAAATGCGTCAGGGTGGTATAGAACCAATGTTTCCAGTAACAGTCAATGAAGACTCTCAGAGAAAGACTAATGAAAAAATTATTTATGATAAATAGTAGCAGTAAAATCCCTCATGGGGGTAGCTTGTGGTTTTCGCTGTGAATGAAAATTACGGATTTTTTTTCTATGATAACCAAGGGAAAGGAAGTTAAGAAAAGGAAGATAATGGCTATAAATTTGACTATGTTTACTGAAAGTGAAATGAAGGTGATGAATGAAGAAATGTCTGTAAAAGATTACCCAAAGCAGGTATTCATATGAAGAAAAATAGAATTAAAACAGTATTAACTACATAAAAAGATTAATTTTCAAAAGAACCTACTTAAAGTCAGACTGTATCGATTAAGATTCAAATGTCACCTTGGGGCAAACTGGGGCCCCGGTTTGGCTTTCCAGACCTTTCTCCTGTCAGTCTTCCACTTTTAAATCTAGGATCAGACAGTACCCCACCGACCTCAGGGCAGTTACAATTTGGGGTAGACTGTGGGAACCTCTAATTCACTGGTACAAAGTTGCAGTGGGTCCAGCTTCTTGAGGCTGAGAAGTAAACCATGATTCACCCAAATAATTACACTTCATCATTAGCTAAGAGTTATTTTCCTAGAGCAGCAGTTCTCAAACTGTGGTCCATGGACTCCTGGGGGTCCCTAAGACTCTTTTAGCGGTGTCTGGAAAGTCAAAGTGGCTTTTGTAATGATAATAATGCTTTTTTCTGTGTTGGCACCTACAATGATGCAAAAGCAATGGTGGGTAAAACTTCTGGCTTATCAGCAAGAATCAAGGCAGTGGCACCAAAATATATTAGTTGTTATATTCTTCACCCCCACACATTCCAGTTAAAATAAAAAACGTGCATGTCAACTTCATTGAAGAATGCTCACAATTATCACAGTAAAAATTATTTTTATTAAACCTCAACTCTGAAAACACATCCTCTTAATACTCTGTATGTCAAAAAGGGGAAATATATATAAAGCACTCTGCTTCGCATCAAGGATCACGGTTGTCTCAAGGAAAGATACTTGTGTGATTCAGCTGTCAGCTGAACAGGCCACTTTTTTCATGGAACACCATTTTTCTTGAAAGAACAGCTGATAAACTATAATTATTCAGACTTGGGTATTAGACAGGCATTTTCTCAAAAATGAATTTAGTGAGCCTGTTATTTCAAGGAAACCAAATGTCTTCAGTACTTGTTATAAATGACAAAATTTGAGCTTTCAGCGAAAATAGAAATTTTGGAAAATGTGTAGGCATGTCCAAACTTTCAAGAATCTCCCAATACTTCTTTGAGAAGACAGGTTAGATTAACAAATATGCTTTTTTGATATTTTGTAATAAAATGTCCCAATGTTTCAAAGATTTGTATAATTCAATGAACTGGTATTTTATAAGCAATCAATGCACTATGTTACAAAATCATGCATGGGGTAAAAGATTCATTCAAAGTATATTCAAAGTGCAAGACAGACCTATGGATTTTAATGTAACAGTACAAACAATTCATTAATATGGTTTCAGCTTTCACAATGCAATCAACCTTTAAGAAATTACCATCTGTTGAGTCTGGGGGTAATACCAAAGAATATCTGTAATTATCTGAAAACAGTCCTCCCTTTTACCATTGAGGCCACATTTCCTTCATGTACTAGAGACTGGCAACCTTTTTCTACAAAGGGCCAGACAGTACATGTTTGAGGCTTTCCAGGCTGCCTATATGGTCTCTGCTGCAACTATTCAACTGTCGCAGCCATCAATAATTCGGGAAGGAATGAGAGCTGGTAGGGAACACAATTTCATTTATGGAAATTAAATTTGAATTTCACAGAATTTTCATGTGTCATGAAATACTGTCTTTTCCCCCAGTGATTAAAAACAACACAACTACCACCACTCCGTCTGTGGGCTGTACAAAGGGGACTGGATTTGGTCCTCAGCACTTAAAAGTTTGCCAAATCCTGATACACTTCAAACAAAATAACCAATCTAACAGACTGAAGGAAATGTGGCCTCAATGGTAAAAGGGAGGACTGTTTTCAGATAATTACAGATATTCTTTGGTATAACAGACTGAATGCAGGACTAAACATGAGAATCTAGCTATCTGCTATTAACCGAGACCCTAAAAGATTTGCAAAGATGTAAAACAATGTCACCCTTTTTATAATGATTATGTTTTAATTTTGGAGAATAGTTATTTTCTTAAAATTATCTATGTTAATATGTAAAAAGTTTACTATTATTACTTTAAAATAAAGCATAAAATTTATCAGTTTTAATTTCTAATAGGGTAACTTTTTTTAAATAGGGTAACTACTGATAGATCCAATCCACATAAACAGAGGCTCTTTGTGGTCCACAATAATGTAAAGGGATTCTAAGACTAAAAGTTTGAAAAATAGCTGTCCTAGGAGATCCAAAAATTACTCCTGGAATAAATTCGCAAAATTACACATTGCTTCTTTCCTACTTCACATATAGAACAACAAATGGTAGTAGAAAAAGAGCCTATGTTCTAGACAGGTAACGTGCTAATAATCATGAGTCCGAGGAGAAGAATCAGGTGGGTAAATAAACTGCACCTCCTTCAACCTGGCTCCCCATAAACTCCAACAAAGAGCTTCATGCCCACCCACAGAAGTTAGTCTTTGAGACTGTATCCTTACGGAGGCAGGGGTGTAGTTTTACTCTTACCTGATGCAGTGTTCCAACCTAGCCTCCTGCTGGAACACTGTGTCAACCCTGCCTCCCTCCTGACGGTTCTGCTCTGCCCCTGACATCATCAGAGCATCAGGGCTGAAAAAGAAGAGCATGAGCCTAAATTATTTGTTAACGTAAACCCTGAAAGGGCTTTTATGCAAAAAGTATCTCCATGTATAAAAATGTGTCTGGAAGACACAACCCAGTGTGATCACACTGACATACTATCAATTTCCATTTAATGTTAGAAATGGTAGTATTAAAGGAGTGCACACTGCATTTTCAGGATCACACTATAAAATAAAAACACTGTTAGTAGTTTTCATCCTTCTAGCCTCCAAAGATTCTGAAAAGTTGCCAGATTCAGTTCAGTATAGTGTACCTGCTGAACAACAACCTCTTTCTTGAAGAGCATCAGTTTTATTCTAGGTTTATTTTCTCAGTATTACACTCAACATGCTAGCACTGTTTCAAAAATGACTGCCAGCTATTACTAATCTTACAGAAATATATACACTCCCTAAAGTCTTACGGTTTAAAACTTATTTTGCTTTCAAGCAGCAAAATACATGTAGGAAGAATTCTTCAATCATGAAGCCTCAAAGTTGCAAACTCGTTTAATAGCTTTATAAAAAGCAAAAGCAACTACATGTTTTATCTGAAATATGAATACTATGCTTACCCAAAAAGTTCTTAAAATAAAAAATAAACAGATGTGGATAAACTTTAAGTCTTCAAGGAAAACTACTAATGGTACCTTTTTCATTTATACTTAAAAGATAGGGATAAGCAGGGGTGCCTGGGTGGCTCAGTCAGTTAAGCATCTGCCTTCAGTCCAGGGGCTCAGGTCATGATCTCGAGGTCCTGAGATAGAGCCCTGGGTCAGGCTCCCTGCTCAGTGGGGAGTTAAGCACTACCTCTCTCTCTCCCTCTCCCCACCCTCATGCTTGCTCTCTCTCACGCACTCGTTCTGTGTCTCTCTCTCTCAAATAAATAAATCTTAAAAAAAAAAAAGATTGGGTTAAGAAATGAAAATCCAAAAAGAAGTGAAAGAATTTAAGATATGCTTTGTTTTGAATGGTATCACATCCATCAAAGAACTACATTCTATATGTAGAATTAATTTTAATTTTCAACAGTCCACAAAACGGAAACTTATTGAGTAAGCAAAACTTTATACAGTCTACGTATAAGTTTCTCAGTTTTATTTCAAGGTTTTTTTGGTAAAAGTGAAGGTAAATATATGTAACAAGGTTTGAAAGAAACAAAACATTCACCCAAGATGCTAATTAAATTGTAGCCTATTAACTTTTTTTTTTTTTCCGTATTGGTCAGCATTTTATGGGAACTATTATTTGACTCAGCTACTATACTAAAGATTATTATCTACAGATAGGAGAGTCTCATTATCCAAGTACAGCTTAAAATGGAAGAAGCCCACTTAACGTTAATCCACTTAAGATAATCAGAATTTCATAATGAAGAATAACTTAATGAAGGCTTTGTTTTTAAAACTTTACACAGAAAATTGTAAAAATGATTATAAAGACCAAAGAATAAAAGATGTTACAATTTTGGGGTATAATTTAGTGGCAAAATTAATAAAAATAAGAATTCAATCAGTGAGCATTTAACAGAGGGCCTGTACATAAACACAGTAAAATAAAGATACAATATTGAGAAAGATGACAAAGCTCCCATTTCTTTCCATGGAGTTCTCTTTCTAACTGAGGAAGACAGATGTCCTTCACTTCACTTTTGAGTTTTGCAGCACCATTGTAAAGAAAAAATGCAAATTTGTCCTTTTTACAAAAAATAATTAAAAGCATCAGTAGTTATTCCCAAGGACTATTATGAATCCCCTGATATGTAAACCATAATCTTTTAAAGCCCCTATTGGGTCATCCTTGTAGAAATTTTCTCCTTCAAATACTATCAAGTCTTGTTAATATCTCTGCCAGGAATTTGAGGAGTTCCAATTATTTTGACCAATTTCATTAAATGGTGCATTTTTGCCAATATTTGTAACTGTCCCGATTTTTCAGCTACAACACCCAACTATCGGGAAAGAAATGACACCAGTGTTAAGAATGTTTATGTGTGTGTGTGTGGTTCCTTAAGTGTAAAGTTGATGATGAATATTAGTAGTGCATATTTTCATTATAATCCCGTAAACCTGGTCAAATAATTTTGGAAAAATTACATATGTCCCCAAAGCCATGTTTGCATGCCTACAGAAAGCCTAAGCTTGGTTGCTCCAAATGGCTGGAACTCAAGTCACCACTATTCATTATTTATTTTTTGATAACTTATTTAAACTGCCAATACAGAATACCTGCAGAGCTAATATTTTAGTATGTCCCAACATCACAAACTTATAGTAACAGGTATATTTCAAAGACAGAAATGTGTTAAAAAATATTGCACTTTAAAAGTGGCACACATTTAGCATTAATTCACTCAATAATTATTTGCTGATCAACTTAGCACATGCCTGGCAAAGTGCTATGTCCTTAGGATACTACAATGAGTATGATGCATTTCCTTTTTTTTTTTTTAAGGAGCTCAGTGAGGTAGTAGAAAGAGGAAAAAAAAGAACAGGATTCAGTATGATGTGTGTGCCATAACAGGCAGCATATAGGAGATGTTACGAGAGATCAGAGAAAATAGAAACTAACCTTTGTCAGTCCGAAAGCTTCCAAAGAGGAATACCTATGATAAATTCTCAGGTCAGCCAAAAGGAAGTGTTTGGGTATTTCCCTTTTAATGTCTAAAACTTCTAAAGTGAACTTCTAAAAACATTCCTATTTTAAATTATTTTTGTGGATACTGATGGATCCACAGTGTCACACAACAATTTCTATATTCAAAGGACTTTGTGTACTATGAATCTCAGGTTTATTAGAGGTAGGTGAAAAAAGATTAATCAGTTTCTCCCACCCCAAAATTAATAGAGTTCCAAATTTATCATTTATAAGTAGGCAAAGGAGATCTGAATTTAATATTGTGTAGCCAAACGTTTACAATAAATTTGATCAGAAAACCATATAATATTATGTTGGAATGGGAAAAAAACTATTTTATTCTTTGAAACCCTTAAAATTATAATTAGAGCAATAGTGTACAGATAAATGCAGGCAAAAAACCAGTGTCTCTTTGCTAAACAAACAGATTTAATAGGTATAAAAAAACAAATGCCCAAAAAAGAAATTCTTCAGTCATGAGCCTTAAAATTCAGGCAGTAGATAAAGTTTAGGAAGAACCAGAATTTATTTAAATTAAAAACAATGGGGTGCCTAGGTGGCTCAATCAGTTAAAGTGTCTGCCTTTGGCTCAGGTCATGATCTCAGGGTCCTGGGATAGAAACCAGGAGCTCAGGCAGCTGGCTCCCTGTTCAGCCGGGAGTCCGCTTCTTCCTCTCCCTTTGCCCCTCTCCCCCGACTCATGCGTGAGCTCTCTCTCTCAAATAAATAAAATCTTTAAAAACAAAACAAACAAACAAACAAACAAAAACTCCACTGACTACATGCAATAGCCAGATTTACCAATCTGAATGCAACAGATAACAGGTTCAGACAAATCTCTAGAGAATAACAGAATAAACTTGACTTACTTTCTTGTATTAGTATGCTATCAGTTTTCAAAGAATTAAAGTCACAGAAAAATTCCAGATACAAGGCCCAATTTTTAAAACGATATACCAAATATGTAGCTAC